TTGGGAGGGTGGAGGGACAGTGCAGGAGGGGAAGACCCTCTATGAGATGGATTGATTCGGTGACTGGGGTAATCGGGATGGGTGTATCAGAGGCGCAGGATAGAGCAGGGTTTAGGGCTGTTGTGCATAGGGTCGCTATGAGTCGGAAACGACTCGACGGCACATAACAACAACAACAGCAATGAACTAATTAACTGCTACCATTACAAAAAGAGATAACCAGGTATTATATGATTTCTGATGGAAGGCATACCTCTTATCATTAACAAAATATTCTTGAGGGGGAAGAAAATTAAAATATCAAATTTCAAGATATACTGTATTTCTTTATAGAAAATAAAAGGCCAGAGGAACAAATTAATGATTATCAACTGGAATGGAAGCAAAGAAATTCAGATTGTAAAAAAAAGTCCACGAATAATGAGCTAATTTCTTAACAAGTAAATTACAAGGAAAGCATAGAGAAAGGGAAATAAGGAAAGAGGGGAGAGAAGGGAGGAGGAAGAGATGGTAAAGGGAAATGAAAGCATGGATGGAGAGAGGAAATAAGGGAGCACGGCAGGGAAAAGAGAGAGGCAGTGAGGAAGGAAGAAGCAGCCTACAAACTAAAGGAAACTTAGGAGAAGTCAATTCAATCATAATATGTGGCCTTCTTTGGTTACCGAACCAAGCAAATTGTAATAAATCCAATACATAACCAAAATTACTCTGAGACATATTAAAATTTTTAACACTGGCTAGGTATCAGATATTAAAGAATATTACTAATTTATTTCTGAACTATGAAAATTGTTAAAAATTTAAAATTCCTGTTTCAGATGTATTTAAATATTTATATATGGAATGATACAGTATTTGGGATGTCTCTGGATAGTATGAGCTAATCCCACAACTGTGGATGCAAAAATCATCAATAAAATACTAGCAAAACAAATCATGACATTAAAATGGCTATACACCATCATCTCAAGTGGAATTTATCAAAGATTGCAAAGGTGTATCAACATAAGAAAATCAATGAATACACCACAATGAAAAATAAAAGGTACATCCCTCAACATGGAAAAGAATATAAACGAACAATCTATCGATAAATATACTCAATGGAGAAAGGCTGCAACATTTTCTCCTAAAATCAGCAATTAAGATGAAGATGTCTACTTTAATTGTTGTCAGTCAACACTATGCTAAAAGTTCAAGACAATTAGGCAAAAGAAAATAAATCATTAAAAAGCATCAAATTTGGGAAAGAAGTAAAATTATTATATTCATAGATGACATAATCATTTATATGTATGTATGTATGTATGTATAGATATGTATAAAATGTCAAAGAATTCTCAGGAATGTTTACAGAGCACTGAGTTACTGTGAAGGGTGGGAAATGCATAGTGAAGATGCGGCACAAATAGTGAATGTAATTAATTCTATTCAACTGTATCCATAAAAATGGTTAAACAGCCAAAGTTTTGCTATATATGTTTTGTCATAACAAAATTATCAGTCAGATTATCAATATATTTGGGGATAGCAGGAGGTGTTCACTATATATTCAACTGCTTCTGTATGTGTGTAAAATTTTCTTTAAAAACTGATGAAAAAGGAGAGAGAGGAAAAATAGTGAAACAAAAACAGATTTGAGAATATTTAAGTTGGTGGGATTCCAGCTAGTAAGAAGTATCTATATTCTTACTCCTGTTCCATTAAGGATTCCATTCAGGATCCAAAGGAGTGGTTGGTCAATTTTCAGAAATATTCAATACATAATTTATAGTTACTTCCAAGTTACAACTAAGGATTACAGTATTCTTTGCATTCCAGGTACATAACATATAGTTTCTTGGCAGACTAGACTAGAACTTAAAGATTTTTCAGTAATATTTAATTACTATGGGAAACAACAACTAGAATATAAGTCCCACATAAGCCTTGAACATCAAAAATTATATTCACAGTGCAAGAGAATCACCACAAATCACAGTCAAAGACTTCACATACAAATCATGAAATATTAAAACATAAGCAAACCTTTTGGTATCAATTTTAATAGCAACGAAACTGTTTGAGGATGCTTCTGTCACTTTCTCATCCTCCCAACTTGCAGCCATCTGTGTAGACTGTTCATCATTACCTGAAAAACATTTCAAGGATTTGTATATAAAACAACATCTGCTAATTGTAAATTATTATCTGTGGGAATTTGGAGCTTCAATTAAAATAGTCCCACAAATAATATTTTCTATCAAATGTGAAAATGGATTTCCCCCCTATAAAATGCAAAGTGTGAATGCACTGCTGACATAAAGAACAATGAAAAATTAGATTCTGCTTTTAAGATTATAAAAGGTGTTTTCTAAAAGATCATTATAATGCAAATATTATCTCAATAAGAAACCATCATCAGCACTTTCTGGTTAGTAGAGAAAAAGTTCCAAGTTTTCCCTGTCTTGTGGGACGGGACTACTCTCACCAGCCAGAGTCATCTGTGCTGAACCTATTTGGCTCTCCAGTTTCCCCTGGGTCCCCAGGATTTCTAGGCTTTCCTCAATATGTTCCTAAAATTACTTCTCAGATGGCAGCTATTATAAGGAGGCCTGTGGGTCTGGTAGATTATCCTAACAATGATAAGGATAAAAAACAAGGAAGACACGCTACTACTCTCAAAGAAAGCAAAGTCTGAGTTCTAATAATTAATGGCTGAGTTCAGTATCTGTTGATAAAACTGGTTCTCCAATTCTCACCCCCCCACCCGCAAAATGCACAACCTAGCAGTGGTCTCTTGTGAATGACTGTACATCAGCTTTGTACACCTGAGAGAAGTCTACAGTGCAAATTCTACTGGGCAGAAGAGAGATCATATTCATTAGAGGAAGATTTAGGCTCTGAGCTCTCCAGCTTGGACCATCCGTTGCCCTTAGGTAACGTAATGGAAACAAGCCAACAAGGCAGGGGGGTTGTAAGTGAACTCTGGATTGACTGGTCAGTTGCTACAATCAGAATGTGCCTTCTTGGACCATGTTTGAGACTCAGAAGGACAGGCTTGTCTGCTACAAATCTTCACTAGTTAAGAATGTCTGCATGCACTGCAATCCCAGAGGTGAACAGTTCAAATACACCAGGTGCTCTGCTGGAGAAGGAGAGACGATCTCCTCCTGTACCACTCAGATCTGATTTGACGGTACACACATACACACACACACACACACACACACACACACACAGAGTAAATTTTTTAAAAAGAATGTCTGCAGCTTTTTTTTCATAGAGTCATGCCTTTAAAAGAATTTATTCTGAACATTTTAGTCAAGCTACAACTGGTTTGGAAAATGTGAGGAAGAGGTGAATATGTAGTTTTCTTTTTTTTTAATGCGTTCTCTTTGTCCTTCTAACTGCAGGTTCTTTTTTCTTTTCTCTAGGTGAGATTTGACCTTACCTGATTAAAGACTGAGTGGAATTCTAGATGTGGTTATTTGTGTCATCATTTTTTGGTTCTGCTATTTTTTTGCACTTCCTTGAGTATATGCTTAGCTGACCACACATATTTGGAGTCATTAAAACTTTTTTTGATATAATATAACCTAATTTTGTACCTGTACCTGTTTAACTATATGTAATTTTTGTTCTGTATCAGAGTACTTGTTTATAGTGTTATGAAAAATGGTCTAATTTTTACTGACAAGAGCAAAGTAATGTTATAACTATGTGCACACAAAAGCAATACTATTTTGTGACTAAATATTTTATATTAAAATTTACATCAGCAACTGTGAATTCAGGGAAACAGTGGAATTTAAATTTTCAACAGTTTTTTAAACCTAGAAATATGAAATTAGTAGGATTCAAAAGAGATTCTAAAATTTCCTATCTTGGAAAATGATGGTATGTACAGCAATTAAATTGAGGATAGCTGATTTAAAAATAACATTTGAGTTCTGAAAAACAAAAAAACTCCTAAAGAATAAGGCGAAAGGAAAAAAAAAAAGAAACCATCAGAAGAAAGTCTGTTTGGCTGGCTATTATAGCCAATTTGATCTTAAAAAACAAAAGCACAATACTCTTTCTGTATTGTGTCTTTCTGTTGACTTAAAACTCTTCCCCACAAAAGTACTTATGTTCCTAAAGTCCTCCAAGGTCAACAGAAGCCAATTCACTTCTGTTGACAGTTTTTTAGGTTTGGTTTTTAATCTGAGGGTTTAAGTCAAGTTTATTGCGACCAGGCTTCAAATGTAAGGCTATAACTCATTTCTATATTTCTCCCAAGCAGCAGCTGGTGGCTCGGAATCACTGCTCTGTAGGTTAGCCCACCCTAAAAGGTCTTTAGGTGAGCCCATCACACACTGCCACAAGTTGCCCTTTTACTGTATGTAGCATTTCAATGAAAACCAAATTTTTAAAGTTTTATCAAGACCTAAACTTAAATAGATTAAGATGGTTTCAAGTTTGCTGGTTAACAGAAGGAAATTTAGCTCATTTAAGTAAATGAAAAAATTTCCAAATTAGCCAAGCTAAGGGTTTTCTCAAAGATAGGCAACCTTTGTCAATTCATAGATTTTTTTTTTTCCCCTTCAGTATTCTCAGACCATATTCTGAATTTTACAAAAATGAGATTGTTCTGTATTTTTTGTAAACTTCTTCCTTCTGCCTATCACCTCTTCACCTACCCACCTGTAGCCATTCCAGCTAATAGTAATTCCATCAGTTCCGGTTCTCAGGCCAAAATACCTTATTATCCTTAATGAGCCCAGTTGGCTCTATGTTAAAAAATATCCTTCATCATGTCCACTGCTGCACCCAACTTAAGGTATCAGCTCATCTGATTGTAGTATATGCCTAGCTAGTCTATCTGCAATCTATTCCTTTTTTTAAAGTGAGTGTGTGTGTTTGTATACACACCATCAAATTGGATCCAACTGGTACAGGCAGGAGACTGTCCGTCCTCCAGCAGAGCATCTGGTGGATCTGAACTGCATTCCTATGGGATTGCAGTGCAGCTTCTTGCCACTAGGCCACCAGAGCTCCCCCTTCTTTATTATTTTTTTTAAGGAAAAAAGTTAAAGAACAAATTGGTTTTCAATTTATATATACTATGTTTAGTGATATTCTTATTTTCTTTAAAAAGTCAAATCATACCATCTCTCTGTGAAAACGTCTGTCGTTCCCTATTTTCTTCACAAAAAAGGCCAAATGACCTACAAAGGCCCTACACATCAGGGTTCTGTTACTGCTGACCAACTTTCCACTTACATTCCCCTTTATGCTGCTCCAGTAACTTTGGTTCACTTGTTTTTCCTAAAATATGAAAAACATGCTTAAATTTTATTTCTTCTGCCTGGACTCCCAAATAGTTTCTGTATATTTGAGTATCACCTTCTCAGTAAAGTCTTTATCACCAAATTTGTAAGGACAAAACTCCCTGATCACCCTTTTTCTTTCTTCCTGTAACATGTGACACCATCTAACATAGTATTTATATTTATGTTCTCTGTTTACTATGGGTATCCCAGAAGAATGAAGATGCTGAGAAGGTAAGGATTCCTTCCCCCCGCCCCTGATTTATTTACAGACAGAACTCAAATGCTTGCAGAAGAACCTGGCATACATTGTCTATCTTGATGATAAATATTTTGTGTAATAATTAATTAAAGTTCTGCAATTACAGGTAATGGTATGTGAAGTTTCCTACTATGCCTAGAACATTTAACTCTAATACATATCTAAATAGATTTTGATTTCTACAAAAAATATTTTACAAAAAAATTTATTTTACTATGAATCTAAATATATTTTGTGTGACATCAGATCTAGAAATAAGGGTTTGAAGGGAGTTCTGGTGGCCTACTGGCAAGAAGCTGCACTGCAATTCCGAAGGCACATGGTTCGAAATCACCAGATGCTACGCTGGAGAAGGAGGGGCAATCTCCTCCTATCCAGTCAGATCCAACTCAGTAGTTGTTGTTAAGTGCCATCTAGTTGCAGGCGACTCATAGCGAACCTATGAACGAAAGTCCTGGACATCTCCTGTATAACTTTTCGTCCTTTCTCCAGGTTCATAGGGTTTCCCAAGGCATGCTTAGGAAGGTGGAGGGACAGCACAGGAGAGGAAGACCCTCGAGATAGACTGATTTAGTGACTGGGGTAATGAGGGTAGGTATGTTAGAGAAAGTGAGATTGGGCAGGATTAGTAAGGCTAGGGTCTGTGGCTCTTTGGCTCTGGATTTGCACTACTGCATTTCCTAGAGCCTTGACTTTGAGTACTACTGGTACCATCAAGGCTACAATATGTCTTCTAATATGATGAGGTCATTAACATAATACCATGGTTCATCATTTACACTAAAAAACTAAAGATACTGGACTTAGCAATTAATTTCAGTCTTTAGTTATAAAGTCGTCTGAGTTGAGCACTTCAGTTCCATCTTCTCTCCCTCTGGTGGAGTAGCTGCTACTATCACTAGGTTGAATCATGGACACAAGCTGCAGGTGAGGATGCTAACTTTGGGACCCTAACCACATACTGCAAGGAGGTAAGAAGCACCTTCTCCAGAATAAGCAGATCCACACCTCCAGCTGCCAAGTTGATATCCTCACTTGTATATTTTACATGATTCTCAAACCGGCTTAAAACTAACCCCCAGCCCCACCCCTACCCCAGTCTTTGTAGTTCAGTAAATTACACAACTACACATCTAGTTGGATAAACTATAATGTGTAGATTATCTCTGACTCTTCTACAATTCTACATATAACCAACCCTTAAGTCCTAATGTTTTACCACCTACATGAAAGTATATCCTGACTTGATCCACTTCATCCATGTCAAACCGTGCTTCTCCAAAACACAATTATATCTACTTTTTGCTTTAAGCTTCTTGTCATATTATTCAACATTCCCAAGAAGAAAAATCCAAAACTCTCATTTTACTTTTTTCAAATTATAGAGCTACAATACTTGTAAAATCCTCAGTAATGTAATTGCTGAACTACTATTAACCTCTCCAAGTCTCCTAAATTTTCAATTAATAGTTTATGTAAAATGTTTCCCAAATGAATCAAAGTGTACCCTTGAGACCACTCCTTCCAGGCATAAAAATATCTCTTAACTTTTTCCTCCTTTATTTCCGTATTTTCAAT